TAATGGTCGGAATGTGACCTGTGAGCCTTCTGAATTACCGTGGGACAGCACATTCTAAACTAAAATGTTCAATCAATAAAGTAACATCTTATCTTATCTTAATAATATCTTCATATTAATAATAATAATAAATCATACAGTATGTGTCCGAAAGGGAGCAGGAGGAAGCAAACACAAAAATATACTGCATATTAAAGCAAACGATTGTAAAGGTTAAAGTATGAGCATAACAAATAAAGAAGTGTAATGTAAACATTTACATTATGATTATTTAATATATAAAGACTATATATTATTGAATTACAAGATTAGATATACTTTAGTTGATCTAAAATATTGATGTGTTCAAATGCTCTTCAAAACACAACTGAAAGTCCATGAAACTTGTCTTTCTGTATTTGTGAATGAAGCGCCATCTCCTGGTTAAAACGTGAAATTGAAAATCTGGCAACGCCCTCTTGGAAAATAGTGGGAGGGCTTAACATTCCTCTATACTGGTCTTTGGCAGGTAGTAGGCAGGAAGCTGTAAGCTGGAGTCCGAAATTCAGTGCTACATCTGTAGCTCAGTTACCGTCACTACATGGTGCGTGACTCCGTTATTTTTTTTATATAGTCTCGGCTCCCAGACGTTGGTGAGCGGCGCCAACAGTGAGGCGAACAGAGATGAGAACTGTACTTAAGTACAGTAGCCTACTTGAGTAAATGTACTTAGATACTTCCTGTGTCACATGCGGAGACGCGCTGTGGGCGTGTTTGTGTTTACTAACAAGACTATCATGGCGGCAGCGGAGCTCAAGTCGAGTTTCTCCGCCTGGAGATATTCTCACTATTTCACTTTTGTCGAGCACAAAGAAAATAACGTTTTAGTTAAATGTAAGTTGTGTCTTTGCGTGTCAAAGTAGATAGGATTATCTACTGCCCAAAACAGCAATTCAAATCTGTTGAAACATCTGCAGAAACAACATGCTGGGACGAAGCTATGCCACAGATCCAGAATCATCCGACGCCACTCCACCTCCACCTAAGCAACAGCGGCTGGATTTTAACTGAGGGACTGCTAGCCAGGAAAAAGTGGATAAAGCCATTGTGCGGTATGTTGTAGAACACATGCAAGCTATTTCTACTATTTCTATTGCTATTTCTTGATCAACAGATTGTATTATTTCCCAATGCAATAACAGTACTGAAATGAAGGCTATAAGGGCATTAATGGGATTCCTTTTTTTAAGTAACTAATGCGTTACTGTTCAAAGTAACGCATTACTTTTTGGTGTAAGTAATCAGTAAAGTAACTGAGTTACTTTTGAAATGAAGTAACTAGTAATGGTAACTAGTTACTGGTTTTCAGTAACTAGCACAACACTGATTATGAATAACAAACGCAATAAACGGATTATAATGGTTAGCCGACCGGAGCATCCGGTTTAGGAGGTGCGCACGCAGCGTCTCGTTTTAACTGAATAATGGTCATGTTTACATGGATTTATGAACTGCCCCTAATTACCGCCCCCCCTTCCAGAGACACACTGTCAAACACACTCATACCTGCTTGGTATGACATTGAAAAATGTACATTCAATAATAAATAAAAATAAATTACAATAAAATGACTGTTGTTCATGATATGATATATCATCATATCATGTCTATAATTTTGAGCACCAAATTATTGGAAAGTATCGATAAGAGTATCGAAAAATACCGGTATCGATAAAATCCTAACGATACCCATCCCTAACTGAGTCCTTTACTTCACCTGAGCTGAGGTTATCTGAGACTCTCAGTCTGACAGGAGAGAGTTCTCCCCCCACCTTGTTGTTGAAAAAGCTCCTTATGCATACATGCCAACCTTTCCAAATCCAAAAGAGGTTGGTTTGTGCGTGGCAAATGTGCATGCCCAAATTAGGTAATCAGAAGAAATGGAACCCCAGTAATTACATGTATAAACCATGTATTTAACATATATTGCATCATGTTATGCATTTTTCAGAAAAAAGTGGTAGTTTGGTAAACAGTGACATCAACGACATGTCTGGTCTGTAAAATGTGCAAAAGTAAAATAATGGGAGATAAATATTCCAAAGTCTCCACATTTTATTATATTCTGTGTTTTTCTGGTCCTCTTTCAGTTGACACAGTGTATATGAAGGATGTGTCAGGATGTAGAACTCTTGTGTGAACATTGGATAAAGCCAGGTTCATATTCTTGTTTCATGTTGTTGACATATTAGAGTCAAAGGTTTGCACAGAGCGAAATATCTTTGTGTTGCGCCATATATCAGAAAATACTGCATTAAAAAAGTCATTTCCTGCATATTTTTGCAGTGTGATATAAATAATGTACAAGCTTTCAGATTGCTGTAGTTCACTAAACATAGAAATTAACGACTAGTGATGGGCATTTCGAATCCCTTCGGGGACACAAATCTTTTGATTCAGTTCACTTTAAAGATTTGTTCACTGATTCGTTCACCGGTTCGCGAACGACTTCTGGTGATTTGCACGTTCGCGAACGATTCTTACGATACTTAATTCGTTCAGTGAGTCTTCACTACAACGCTGTGTGTATTTATCGCTAAGCTAGCGGCTAAGCTAGCTGGACGCTACGGTTCAGGTATCCGTCCTCTGAAGCTTTTAGGGCCGACAGGGGGAGGAGAATGTCCCTCTAACGCTGTGTGTGTTTCACATTAGCGGGACGCTATGGAGCTCAGGTATCCGCCCTCTGAAGCTTTTAGGGCCGACAGGGGGAGGAGAATACAACGCTGTGTGTATTTATCGCTAAGCTAGCTGGACGCTACGGTTCAGGTATCCGTCCTCTGAGGCATTTATGGCGGACAGGTTGAGGAGGATGTCCCGCTCCTGTGTGTGTGTGTGTAACGGAGCTCAGATGAGAGGGCTCTGATTACAGTTTTAATCCTCTGTCAAACTGCATGTTTTCTGCCATATTTGATGAGAGATAAAATGATTTTCTGCCACAGGAGTTTGACAGAGAATAACTGAAAAAGTGCGCATAATAACTTCATAGTAGCCTACTTGTGGTAGAAGTCCAACTAGTACTGAGTCCAACAGTAAGGTACTTCATTGTATTTTTGTGGTAGTTGTCTAACTGAGTCCAACTCTGTGTAGATGGAACATCCAGTATTTCGGAGGGGCCCTAACGGGACCCTCCTCTTGAAAGAAAGGTATATAAGATAAAAGAACTGTAGGAAACAGTTCTGAACTGTTTCCGCCAGTTCTTTAAGTTTGTTGTTCGCGAACAGCTTCTCTTTAGCTTTTGGCGGAAGGTGGCGACTCAAACAAACAAATCGTTTTGTGGGAGGAATCAGTTCACCTCATTCACTTCAAAGATTTGTTCAAAAAGAACGAATCGTTCACGAACGACCCATCACTATTAACGACATGTTTTGTGCTGAAAATGTCAGAAAAAGTGAAAGAATGGGAGATAAATATCCCAAAATCTCAAAATTGTATTATATTTTGTGTGTGTTTGTGGTCCTCTTTCAGTTGAGACACTGTAGGTGAAGGATGCTTCAGGAAAAGACCAAACACTGGATTCTTTCAGTCGCCAACATGTGTTTTCGAGAAACTGATATCAACGGGGAAACCCTGCAAGACTCAAATGCCTCGTCTCTGTTTCCTAAACTCATTTGGGAGTGATGACTGATTATTATCAGTCCCGGGGACGCAGTGCGGCAGGCTGGCTTGACTGTGCAGTCCCGGGGGTAACGCTGCCCTTCCTCTGCACGCTGTTTCTCTTTCAGAAACACAGAGGACTGTTTGTATGGGATCACAGACACGCTGCAATCGGTTTCCGCTAAAAGTCGAGTCCAGTGTCTGGAGTTTCATTTTTATAATTAGGTAGGGAAAGCCAGCTAAATCAGTAGGCGGTCGAAACATGTCAAAAGCGGTAGACTACCGCCCAAATCGGTAGAGTTGGCAGGTATGCTAATATCCGTTAGCGTAGCTAGCACCAGATGCTAACCACAACGATCTTCGGTACCGGCGCGCGCTTGCTCGCGCACGCACACAAAATGGCTCGTGCCACACACACACAGAGAGCAGAGCTTGAATGAAACACAGAGACCCAGAAGCAGGCTACTTGTAGTGTACTGTAGCATATTATTTTCGAATAAATCCTTTTTCAAATTAAGAATTTCACACATATAAAAAAAAAAAAAGACATACATTTATTGGGGGTGCTTAGGGGGTGCTATGGCTATCCTGGGGGGTGCTTCAGCAGTTGCTATATTTCCCTTCAAAAAAGCCCTCTGTCCCAATGGTATGCATGCACCAGTAGCCTACATGCTTTGTAAAATCATCTACAGTAGCCTCTTTTTAATCTATTGATGTTGTATGAGTGATGTTACATCAGCCGAGCCATACATTGACTTGCACAGGATCTCAACCAATATCCAGTTATCCTAGCCAAAGAACACACCAGCATCTTTATTAGTTATTTGAGGCTTCGGATGTGAAAATAAAAATACTGCTGAAAATCTAATCAAAGTGGTTTGGCAAATAAGATGACATACAAATTACAGCACTTCAATAAAACCGTTTTTTTCTATCAACAAACCATCAACATGGCTTCAGTTTAAATGTTTTCTTTAATGTGTGCATCATCAACAGGTTTAAGTGTCCAGAACATGGTGATTAAAGGAATCATTCATTAATATAAGGATTAGATTATCATCTTTAGTCATCAAGGCATCGACATGTCTAAATCTATACATTAATCTGAAATTGTCACAATGTTAAAGAGTTATACTTTGAGGTTCAGTATCTACAGCTCTTGAAAAAATGAAGAGACCACTCCAAATGTTTCTTAAATCTTAATCTCTGCAGCTAGTCCATTTCAGTGACTGTTGAATTCCAAAACAGAAAAATGTTGTCAGTAGTTTATAGAATAATAAAAAAAAAAGTTCATTCTACTCAAACACATACCTATATGTACAACCAGAGAAACTGATAATGCTGCAGTGGTCTCTTATTGTTTTCCAGAGCTGTATACTGTTCTCATGGAGACATTTATTGGCAGTAGTAGGTGAGGACGTTTTCCTGGTTTCCTCTGACCAATAGGATGGGAGCTCTCAGATCTCGAGACAGGAAGTCCAGCCAGGCCAGGTAGAGAGTGTTTGGACACACCCCTTTCCTCCCCACTGGCATGGTGCTGTCAGTAGTAATTAGTTCAAATTAATAACTTGAACTGTTTGTTACTTATAATGAAATTAAAAATGTATAAGTAAATACTTAAAGACAAAATGATTATACTGGGCCTGTATATGCTGGCAGGCTAAGAATCAAGAGCCATGTAGTAACTCTGCATTGTCTTCTTTGTAATAAAGAAGAACTCTCATGGACTACAAATAAAAATGACCGTACTCACATAACAATCAGAGCAGCTTCTCTGGAGTAATCCTGCAGAACCTCATTTAGACGAATCTGACGAAGAGACTGGATCACGCAGAGAAAGTACAACATTTAAAGAAAAAGACGGGGGGAAACGTTTGTAATGTTTGGAGTGTGTGTGTGTGTGTGTGTGTGTGTGTGTGTGTGTGTGTGTGTGTGTGTGTGTGTGTGTGTGTGTGTGTGTGTGTGTGTGTGTGTGTCAAACCTTGGCCCTGTTCCTCTCCAGATCCTGGTCAGTGATCATAAACAGCTCCTCCTGTCTTGGTAGATCACAATCAGAGTCCTGTTTGGGATTAGTTTCAATCTTGAAGCGACCCACCATATTCTCAAACTGATGAACACTGAAGCACACAGACAAACCAGGAACATGATTAACTGCAGACAGTTCTACAGTAAAAACAAGTCTGAATTAATTCCTTCCTTTTAACTATGTTTTTTAAACACTTTTCCTGGCAATTTCAATGTTTTTGTTTTGTGAAATATGGACAATTTATAAGAGCTGGTGAACATAAAGGCCTTGGGTGTTATAACATTTAGGATCTGATCCATCATTAACTCTACAGTATCTATACATCTTTTCCCCCTGGAATTTTTGCTTTTTCAAAGATGGTTAACCCAGCTCAACATGAATCATCACATTTCAAATCGCACAAGGCAGATCTCTTCCCTGTTGTCGGTGCTTTGCTTGCTTCATTCTCTCAACTTGTGGCAGCCTTACTTTCCCAGCTGGGGTTTTTGGTAGATGTCAGGAAGCACTTCAACGTCATGGAAACCAAGGCGGAATTTCTTGATCAGTGCCAACACCCTGAGAAGAGAATGTAAATGTATGTACAATTAGGTTTTCTCATTTGTAAACCCCTGCAGTGGTCTTGAAATCACGACTAACATTTCTCCTATCATGGCTCTGCTGAATGTGTAAACAGGTATTTTTGGAAAATGATGCCATGTCAACTGTTTCAGTGGAATATATGTGAGTTGTTTAAACACCTTGTTTCTGTCTCCTTAGTTGCCACAAAATAAGTTTTGCTGGTTTTAATTAACTGGAGGTATTAATGATTATGCCTTATCATATGTACTGTCAGTATAGTATATTATTTTGCTTGCTTGACCTCTGCTTTACTTCTCATATATCTGTTAACTCACTCACTGTCACTGTCTGGGGCTTTCAGTCGTCATAGCGCTCATCATCAGCTGTTTACATCTAGAAGGCACAATTAAATCAAAGTACTTACTTCTCTTTCTGCTCGTCCTTCTGCTCTGTCTCCCCCCCCACAAACACTCGGACCTTACATCTGGCCCAGCGCTTCCTCCGAGTCAGCAGGTAGGGCAGAAGCAGGGTCAGACCTGGTTCACACACACACACACACACACACACACACACACACACACACACACACACACACACACACACACACACACACACAAACGTACAACCTGTGATAATATTCTTGACGTAAGAAGAAGATGTGATGGATGGATAGATGTTCATACCTCCGTCATCAGACAGCCAGTACACATCAATGGTCTTCTTCCCTTGTTTTTTCTGGAACACTGTACTCAACTGAGGTCCTGGTTCAATGAATTCAGAAGCTGCAAACAATTTTGAATGTACAACAAAAAGTAATTGTTTACATTATAATGAAATCGGTTAATTGAATTAGCAGGTTTTTAAGTTCACAAATGTTAAACATGTTCTATTCTAACTAACTTACTTAAACTTAAACTAACTAACTTAGGTTCGGGAGCAGGACCCAACCCAACTCAACTCTAATCACCTTCCAAGCACATTTATAACCAGCACATTCAGACAGTTTGTCTGTTAATTCTCTACGACAGACAGACCGGGGTGCCCCCCCTAACGCCTGATCTCATAACTCAAAACTTCCTTCCCACATTTGTACTTTAACAGACTTAATGGTAATTAGTCAAGTCAACACTGGGCAGTGGTGTAAAGTAACTAAGTACATTTACTCAAGTACTATACTTAAGTACTTGGTAATTTTGAGGGACTGGAATACTCTTAACTTGAGTATTTCCACTTTTTTGCTAATTTGTACTTCTTCTCCACTACAATTCAGAGGTCAATAATTTAGTTTTACTCCACTACATGTATTTAATAGTTACTTTACAGATTTGGATTAATGATGTGAAATATAATCAACTCTTAAATTAGTTCCACCTGGAGTAAATCCACAAGCTTCAAACTAGCTGCACCTTTACCAGCTTTGAGACCACTTTAATGATCAATCATTATAAAACATATCATATCTATTATTCTGAAATGGTCCAATCTGCACAATGACTACTTTTACTGTCGCTACTTTAACTATATTTTGATGATAATACTTTTGTACTTTTACTTGAGGAACATTTTGAATGCAGGACTTTTACTTGTAACAGAGTATTTATACACTCTGGTACTTTTACTTTTACTCAAGTACAAGATCTGGATACTTCTGCTTTTACTCAAGTACAACATCTGAGTACTTCTACTTTTACTCAATATCTGAGTACTTCTACTTTTTTTTTCAAGCTAAGGACC